GCACAAGGATGAGGAATAAGAATGGCATTGTACCTGCTGAAAAGCGAGTGTCAATGTGTGGAACTCACTCCTTTCCTGAGATTATTAAATAGCATGTCTTTGATTTGCTGTGTCTTTCGAAAGCAATCTTAAAAGGAACTCTTCATGTTGTCATTCTTTAACTCCCACAGGAAACTACACATGGGCTCACACACACACATGTACACATGGGAAAATCAGTGGGTTTTTCCTCACTTGTATGGTCCAAACATTTAGGTCCAAGAGGCAGGTTTTACTTAGTTCCTACTCCACTGCTACTTTAAAATCTAAGTCAGATTCTAGTTTTTGTGAACATAAATCAAGGATTACACTGGTAAAATCAAGCTAAGTAAGCTCAGACTCTGGCTTTATCATTTCAAGTAGCCTCATGATAGTTTAGTCTTCCTTCTCATCCTCACAGTCATTTGCTGAGAAACTCTGGTTAGCACAGATTTTTGTTTACAAGCCACAATTTCCAATAAATGTGTTGTTTGCCCTCTGGCTTGACATCAAAGGTAGTTTCATAATTAGGGTGGCTCCTACTGAATTGTATTTCCCTCAGTTTGCGTGGGGAAGTGGGTCACCTATTATACAAAGGCAATTATTTGACTGCACGCAACTACAAAGGGAGGAGATACAACGTTTTACTTCCTATTTTTAAAATGCAGCTCTTAAAAATATGTGTCAACTTGAAAAAAAAATCACTTGTACTTACTTGCAAGCAACTCACCCATTAATAGTTAAAATGCCAAGGTCCATGTCTGTGCTGAGGGATGGGTATGGACCCTCCGTGCCCTGGGAACTCTCAGAGAAAGTCACCCCGAGCCAGCCCGATGGGTCTCACTCCTGCTTAAAGCTCAGAGAGTGAAGGGGAAAAAAATGTTTTCTTAAAAAAAAAAAAGAAAAAAAGGATCAAATTATTGTATTTGAGAAAGCATTATGCAGAATTTTAAAGTCTTTATGTACTGCCTGCTTTTCACAAATCCTCCTCTTCTTTGAGCCCCATTTTCTTCTTTCTGCAGTCTATTGAAAACTTCACTTGAGTCTGTTTGACTTCTCTCAACAGTGCTTCACATTTTGACCAAAAGCCCAGGGATGTGTTTTCCTGGAAAAACTTTTGAACAGTCTTACCACTACATTTTTCCTTTTTTGGGTGTTGTTTTTTTTTTTCCACAGTAGTAGGTTTTAGTTAGTCTTCAAAGAATTTTGTGCTAAAGAATGTAAGATAGGGCTCTCCCTACCAAAGCCTGAACATTCCCATAATCATATATTTCTTTCTGACAGGCAACATAAGACGATCTCTGGATGTTCACTATCACCTTCCATGTGCTTTGAATTACAAGTGGTCTAAATCATTTGCTTAATCTAAGTTATTATCAACACAAGTGTCTTTTTTGCTCTAAATAGCAACAGTGCATGAAGGCACGGGGCCTTATAAACATTAATAGGGTCAGCACTAGTAGAGGTGGAATAATGTTGCATGTTTTGCCTCTCTCCAATTCTCCTCGTAACGCATGCCTCCCACATGTCCCCCTGTGTCTGTTAGAGTGGGCTGTGGGAGAGCAGCCACGCAGGGCAGTCCTGCGGAGAGCTGCTGGGGCTCTGCCCTCTGTAGCAGAGAGAGCCCGCACGGGTAGCTACATCTTTCAGGATGCTTGTCTGTGACTGGTTAGCTTACTCCTTCACTCACCTGGCATGAACACAAGGCTGCATTGACTTATCCCAAGCTGTTAAGCTGAATTTCAGAGGCGGGGACAAGGTCATCACTGTGCACCTACTAGGTCAGGTTCTGCTCCAGGACAGTGGTCCTCAGTGGTTACCGCATGACACAGAATAGCTGGTGATAGGAAGAGCTGCCTTCCCTCCGACCTGCCAACCCCCCTGCACCCCACTCTCCCACCTTTCTCCCAACTCTTACGGAAAACTTGGTGGTCACAGCTGGCAGAAGTACTAGGTAAAATGCCTCAGTGAGGTAGGGAGATGCAGGGCAAAGCACAATAGACACCCAACTCCTTTATTCCGTGCTGGAAGAACACCTCTATGCAATTCTTCACCAGCATCTCACTGCCCATCCAACCCTTTCACTCTCTAAAAACTTACCCGAGCTCCTCCGCTGGCAACCGGGCCCACTTGTTTTCAGGCTTTCTGTCAGGGTGATGGATGGTCGTGGTGGTATCAATTCTTTCACCACACACGTTCCTCTCGGATGTGACGTGAGTTGTAGCAACCTGTTTCTGGAGCTGAATACATGAGACCTCAGCTTTCCCCTTAAAAACATGCATTGATGTTGGGGAGAAAGCTTTGAAAAATGACCAGAGAGAAAACAGTAGGCTCAGACAAGATAAAGAAACATAGAAGAACACATTTTAATTTTGGTCTAAGCGGCGACCAAAGCTCTCAGTGTGCCTCCACTACATCCCTTGGGATGTTGGGCCAGAGGTGATGCCGAGCAGTGCCCACCTCGCTGCCTGGAATCTGTTCCCAGTGGTGGGGAACCAAACCATCACGGAGACAGAGGGCAGCTCTCAGAGATGCTTAGCCGCAGCCTGGACGGGGCATTGCGGCGCTGCACGGGACCGCTGAGCACAGCCCCTCGCAGAGCCGCGGCACCCACTGCTTCACGCAGCTCTCGCTTCTCCAGATGAACTCAGCATCCTGTTTAGCACTTCATTGTGTGCACAGCCAATTGTTTTTTCACTGAGGAAATAAGTTCTCCCTGTGCAGCGCGACATGTACATAAATACGTACACACATACGCGCACGTGCATGTGCGCACGCAGACACCAGTCGTTTAAAGCCCTGTGGGTCCTTCTTTCACGTTTCTACCTTGCAGCTTGAGGAAGCCAGGAAATGTAAAAAGCAGTCAAAACTTTAGGGGAAAAAACAGATAGAAATGCCTTTTTCCACAGAAAACGTGGAGCAGCTCCCAGGCTGACTGGCCCAGATCTGCCAGCTCACTCTGCGCCTTGCTTCCGCTTCCTCCTCCTCCCTCCTCTGTGGCTTCTCAGGGGTTTCCATGCCACAAGCACCAGCCAGGCACTTTGCTGAATCAGACCCACTGCTGCCAAAGACACTTTCTCCCCATAAATTCAGACTTTTACCAATGCTTATTACAGCTATTAAATTAATTTATTGTAGTATCACGCCTCTCTCATTCAGCTTTTAATCAGCATTTCCACTGGAAAGCTTTACTCCCAAAGAGTTATAAAACTATAAAGTATAAGCATAAAGTTGATTACTGCTGAAATTTAGAATACAGCTTTTTGGCTCACAGCTCCATTTTTTTTCTTGCTTACTTGATCTCTGTTTGCAAAAGCTGATGTAAATTGGTTTGGCAAGTTTGTTTAATTCCAGGGATAAACAATTCCTGACTTAAGAGGCGTTTTCTTCCGGTGCGTGGTAAGTGATGGAATGAACCTATCCTAAATTACCTGCCTACAACATTAAAGAAGTACCCTGCATAACATTTTTTTTTCTTTTAGATGTTGATATTTTTTTACGTAGGAATGCAACTGAATAATTTAACTGTTCACACTGGTTTTAAATGCTGAGTATTTTTGGAATGCTGTACAGTGCTTAATGGGAAGGCAATCACAGGAGGTTAAAGACTTTCAAAATACACACCAGCACCTCCGTGCCAACAAGCCATATCACTTCAATGAACTGTGCAGTATGTGTTGGCATGATTTATGTAGCAATTTTAAAAGAATCTGTAGTGTTTGTTTATTACCACAGCATGATTGATGGGTTCCTAAGTGCACAGCGACACAATCAGCTGAGCTAGTACGGCTGGGAGTTTGATAATTTGTGAGTTACAGCTGCTACAGCATGGCATTTCATTCAATTGCCAGAAGTTGCTCGGGTATGAGTGACCTCAGAGAAACTGCGGTGAGACGAGACCCGCTGCCGACGGTGTCACGGTCGGACCATCTCCCCTGCACCGTCACAGTGCTGCCCGACTTCACTGGCTCGCCTACTCTCCTATCTGGACCTTCACTGGTAAAGAAAATACACCACTTTTAGCCTGATGAGCAATTCCTGCAGGTTCTGCTCTCATCCTCACCCCTTCCAAACGTTCAACTCAATAACTCAAACTCATGGAGTAGGAAAGGCTGCTCAAGCATTGTCTGCTAACAGTCGCTTGCTTCGTGATAGGCAACCGTGGTAGGCAAAGCCACCACCTACCCCAGAAACACACTCCCCGCTGGAAGACACTGGAACAACCTCAGTTCCTTCCTGGAAAATGTATTCCGGGCTGAATAGGTCTTCACTGGATTTAGTAATTTATTTGTAACACAAAAAAAATCAAGTATGAAAGAAATCATAGTTATCTTTTATTTTTTTTTTACAAAAATAAACAATTTGAGAAACAAAAGCACTTTTTTTTTTTCCTGACTGTACAAACTACAAAACAGTATGACATTGGTCACTTTAGCATTTACTTCATTGCTTTCACTGAAAGCAAATTCTCTAGACACACCATGCCTGTAAAACGCATTTTATACAGAATTAAGGCTAGCATTCATTTGACATTATTAAGGTCATTTACTTCATTCACTCTAAGAATTAGCAAGCAGTGCCTTAGAAAACCAAGGATTTGATGATAAAAAATAGGAATAACTGCAAGATAGTCATTAAACTAGTACTGTTCCACCAGCTGGATTGCTTTGCCAGTCTGTCAAAGATGTGGCTTCCTGAACAATTCAAACTCGATTCAACAAAAGTCTTAAGCACAGGCTTAATTGTAAGCATATGCTTAGGCCTATCCCTATTCAGCAAAGCACTCGGCACTTGGGTAAGTCCCTACTCTTTCAGTGGGACTATTCATATGCTTATGTGATTTGCTAGACCTACAAAATGGCTCTTTTAAATTAAAAATGAAACTTTACGATAACATTGGAAGCAAAAATGAAAATTACCTCCAGCCTTGCAACTCTAAACACAACCAATTCCTTCCTTCTGACAAATACGCCAGAACTGCGTATCTGATAGCTTTAACACAAATGCTGATTGTCTTCAGCAACGTTTGCTTTCAGCTTACAAACTGATATGCTTGAGTTACTCTGTTGTGATTGTACGTGCCCAAATAAATATCAGCATGGAGGATACAGACTTCCCATAGAAATTATCAACTTTCATCCCAGTACACACATGTACAGGTCAGAAACGTTATGCTAACCTTGGCTAGAAAAGCCAGAGCTGCCAGCTGACTTATAACCAAAGCTTTACCCTAACAGTGTATCATATCTTTTATTTTGCTTTGTTCTTTTTCTTAAAAAAAATATCACATTTTCAAAATGTCGTTTTATTGCACATTCATCCTGGTCATGCAGGTTATTTCTTTAAAGTTTTGTTTAGCACTCTATAGATTAGAATGAGTAATAGTGCAATTATCTCTCCAGCCACAGCCACCTTTTACCTAACAGCTGCCCATATTTATACACAAACAGCTTTTGTCACTCACGCATCAGACTGAGCCACTTTAGGTGTCAGTCTGTCACCTTCACATACGTTATCTTGTCAGGATCAGGCATGATACGATTTGAGGCCATCTTGAAGAAGACAAGCTGCCGACCTGCACCGAATAGGTAAAGGGGGGAGGAAGGAAAAAAAGAAAAAGAACAAAATCAGAAGGGATGAGCGAAAGGTTGCTCACCTTAAAATACTGACATTTCATATTCTTCTTCAACCTATGAGTTCTTCAAGCAACCCAAGACTGAACTCTCTTAACTTCAACTGGTATAAACCCAAAACGCTTTTGTCTAAAATGACAGCGAATCGAATTACAGTCAGGATATGGCTGTGCACAGCTAACACGGTAACTGAAGGACAGGTCTGAAGTCAGTAATACAAATTTCACAGGTATTTAAAGACTCTCCCACTGATAAAAGCAGGCTTGAGTCCAGGGCTTCAATGAAGGACATTCATTGACCGTACCGGAGCAGTATCGTCTTTATGTGCTTCAGCCTTTGCAAAACCGGTCAGCACAATGTACGGTAAACG